ACAGACAGATTTAAGCTAAACAAAACTAGGAAAAGCAGACCGTTAAGATTTCATAAGATGAACAATTAAAACTCCACAACCTATAGTTCTTCTATGTACTTCAAAACAGTATGCGTTTCCTGAAGATAAACACAATCGTTTTCAGCATTCTAAGTACAATAGTTTAAATTGATTATTTAAATATCATAATCGATAATCTTATCACAAATTAATTTGCCAGAGTATTTATATAGGAAACAAAAATAAGATTGAACTAATTATCGAATCCCTCTCTAATATTGAAAATTAAAATCAGTATTACGAAGATAGAAATCATGTAATCATGAACTGCTTTCGAAAATATGAGTCTCATTTAAAATGTCGTATGATCAGGGTTTCACCAATTTTCTAGCAATTGTTATATGCTGACACAAAAGTCCTTTGTGAGAAGTTTCTGTATTTAGTTTAGCAATGGATGGAGATGGATTTTTACCACATATTCTTGTCAGATTAGCGGAATTTCTATATGAGATCGTACTTATTTGACTATGTGTTTTACCGTTCTATTTTGCATACCACGATTACTCTTTCATATGTATAAGTGTAACACACGAACTTCACTTCTGAAAAGTTTCTTCCCTTAACAGAAAGTTAGACGGAAAACTATGTATGATCAAATAATAGTCTTGCCTTGGCTTGAAAATAATCACTAGAAACCCACGCCAGTGCAATTTGACTAAATCGATAATGACATAGATATCACTAATGATAATTATGGAATATTTCGAATCAGTTAGTGAATTATAATTCGATTGATTACAAACAACGCATACAGCAAGACTTGAATTGGATTCGGCAAGCACAATCTCTAGCACACCACGGCTTTCGTTGTTTCACCAAATAATGCGAAACAACAATGAAAATCATAACTTCAAACTAAAAAATCTAAGATCGTTAGCCTTCCACTTTCTCATCATATTATTACTTATAATGAACAAAATACTTAAAGCGTATGTTTCATTGTAATAAATTAATTCAGAGGAAAATTACATGGTGACAAAGAAGACAATAAACTAGATAGAGAAGAGATAATATTAAAATACAAAACATCATTTTCAACAAGTACATCATCAAGCCCACCGCAATCGTTTTCATTATTTCATCATCCATCAGTTAAAGTGAATCTAATAAATAGAGATAATCATTTACATTTGATGGGTTACGAATCAAATACAGAACTTTTACCATCGTTTGAGCACAATGGTGTATGGAATAAATATGGAAATTTTGAAGAAAATATTGATTTTTATGCAAATAAAAAGTAGGTTGAATTAAAGTGTTTTATTTGGAGTCATATATATTACTGAAAGTATAATCACAATAAAGCGTATATTCACCAGTATTTTCTACACTATTTATTTGTTCCACGTTTGTATTTTATTTGGTTTTCTCTCTGCGTTAGGACGAAGTTTACTATTTTGAGCAGACTAATAATTTATTAACAGGACAGTTAGACAACTAATGGATCCTCATAGTGATAGAATAGGACGAAAGATATGTTTATCCTCAAATGGTGTTTGCCGTGGTTTTAAACTCAGATATTAAAAACTACGTCATTACTGATCACTTAAACATAGTTAACTTAAAATCGAGCGATGAAAGCTAGTAAAACTAATAATTCAGAGATATATTACTGACTTTTGAATGAAAAGTAATAGCTTCTACGATATTTTACGAAGACTATCAAATTGATCCTTAGTTGAATCACAAATAAAATATCTTTTTGCTTAGTTTTTCTAAGTTAGGACTTGCCTTGTGATTAAGTTTGATGGTTTTCGTAATGCGTGTCCTATCCACCTACAGGATCTATTCCTAATTTCCTCAGCTGGAAGAGGGATTTTTTTCTGCCACAGTAGGTTTTTGCTGATGATGCTTAGCTAATACTTGTAGAGTATCACGTGCAGACAACTGTTTATAAAAACTTGTGCACTTTTGGTGATGGTAGTTCTGGAAGTTTTATCTTCGTAAAATGGAACCGTTTTAACATAAGTGCTAAAAATTCTGACCTTGATCTTGAGTGACAATTTTTTGGTTCCAGATATTCAATTGTAGAAATGCTGCATTTGCTTTGCCAATTCGTGCCATTATATCTGACTCATGATCTTAACCATTGAAATTAGATATTCGTTGTTTGTCAGTGATACAGTCCAAGTAACCTAGGACTTCCACCTCTTTCAGCGCAGCTATCAATTTTGATATGGATGGCGCTTAACAAGTTGGATTTGGGGATCTTGATCTTCCTCTTGTGTGTTAGGGCCTACTGCTGCGGAGGCTGCTGGTTAACTGACTTTTCGACTTCATTAATTGTTATGTGAAGAGGTTATTTACCTGCCAATCCCAAAGCCTCCAGCTACGTCGAAGATATTCACAATATCCAATGCTTTTCCTGGGATATGGTGGTCTTCGTAATCCATTTAGCGACAAGCAGGAAGATAGAAAACAAAATTAGACTAACTTACATAGGCGAGTCTTTATAATCTTCGTTGCCATCATTAGTGGGTGTATAGAACAAGGATGAAATTCATTATAATCCTTTCCTTCTTTGTTTTGAAGGATATTTTGATTATTTAAAACTGTCGGTTTTCCATCTTATAAGTGCTTTCTGTGACACTTTGTACAGCATCAGTGTAACTTCTTGTGTGGGGGTCATTTTCTTCATGAGTAGAATATAAAATCTTTCCTGGAGTTAGGCTTTTCTGTTCAGTTTGTGTCCAAACAGTTGCAATTATTTCAAGTACATGTTTTCAGTTCTGAGGCTATTTGAAAGAACCAACTTTATTAACACTGTTTCCGCTAATAACTTCGTGGGAAACTTGTTTATTGACTGCTTTAAGTTTGTGAAATCTTTTATCCTTTCCACTCATACATAGTTTTATTACGGTGGATAATTTATCAATGATAAAAGAAGAAAGCATTTTAATGAATCGTAAAATACTTTTACGAATCCTGACCTTGTTAAAGTACCACATTTTTTATGAAAAAATAAACCATCTATAACTTATTATACATAAACGTCATAGGTTTTATTTGTGTAATTATACGTGTTTTTTATTTAATTATCATTTGCCGCTAAACTATGATACGTTGGGGACCACTTTTTGTTACATGTGTTAATCTGTGACAAAGTAATTGAATAATTGGGTCTGAACTTGAAAAAGATGCTTTTGTTGAATATAATTTTTGCTATCGACTATAAATTATTTGTTATAAATATTTACACAAGTAACATTTAGATAGACCAATGTTGTGATTTTCTAAATAAGCAAGCAATTTTTAACAAGTAACTGATAGTTTTTATGATAAAGAAAATTGTAGATGCAATCCTGACTTATACTAACAGTTCACTAATTGATCGAGCCAAGATAATACAGCCGTTTTATAACTTCTGTTCAAAGTTCGTAGTACACCTTATTTTCTGAAATCCTTTATCCAAGAAAATAATATGTATCAATTAGGTAACAAGAAGATTCAACCAAGAAAGAGTAGGATCCACAAGAGTACTTAGAAAAAATAAGCGTTAAGCGAAGTTCAACGGGAGAAAATGGGAAGATAAATGATTTATAACTAATAACAAGTGATCTTCACAATAGTATGAGATATCTTTTCAGCACGTCAACCAGTTTGTGGAATAAGTTACTAGAAATAAGGACTTCTTTATGATAAATGAATAAATCTATGGTTAGATAAAGCACAAGTAACTTGAATTTTTCTGAATATTAATATGATAAAATAGCTGATGGAGTATTTTCAATGAATAAGGATGCAAACCTGTGATAAAAAGTTGCAAGACAAATGCTTCCTTTTGACACTTCAAATTATACTAATCAGAAAGTTATAAATATATAAAATAGATTATTTTAATCAAAAATATATTCCTAATCATCAATAAACAATTTAATTATTATTTATTTCTCTTTCTGAAAAACAAACAAACAGATTCATTGAAGAAAATAATGGAAACTCTTAAAAAAAAACCAAATCTAGCTGTTTACCATTGATGTTTATATTGTTCTGATGTAGATGACAAAGCGACATAAATTTAATGAACAATTTTAATAGTTTTTTTGTTTTCTCGATAAAAAAAAGTTTTATTTTCCAATATTACTTTACATTATTCAGTTAGACAATATCTCTATTATTTAACACAAAATTCACTATTACATTCTAAAAAAAATGTTTCAATGTTAAACTGGGTAATAATATTATTACTATTACGCATTATGATAGTAGAAGACAAATGGATACAACTAACGAATCATAATGTTAATAAATACATATTTTATTTATTTCATTGACATAAAAGTAACTTTTGTCTTAAAATTAAAAGTTAAGAAATTGTTTGTTTTTTCACCTTCTTCCTTTCAACAATAGTCAATATTGTACATTGTTTCAGAAATCAATTAAAGAAGGAATTATTCTTTAAGTAAATTACCCAATTATCATAAACCATGACAAGTAATATATTTTTCCTTTATCTATATATAAACTCATAATAATGATAACAATGACAATATATGATAGAAGACCAACTTCAGTCTATTAATAATGGTTCTGCTGAGATTTATTTTGAAAAATAGTAAGTGAGGCACACAGAGAGAGAGAGAGAGAGAGCAAAACAAACAAAAAAATGTGATCATAAATACCATCACGTCTTTTTCAAATCACTTACGCCTGTTACTCCCAATGGAGCATAGGCCGCCGACCAGCGTTTTCCATTCTCAAATCAATATCAGTAATAATAGTAATTGATTTATTCTATTCACATCACTCTATAACATAAAATTATTCTTATTTCTATAGACATGTATTTTTAATATAATTGTTATCGTTCAGAAATAAAATGATTGAATTATAAAAAAATATATTTATTATACATATTTTTATAAAAGAAAAATAATGAACTACCAAGTGAAATTTAAAAAAAAATTAAACTGTATACACACATGAAAAAAAGAGTTAGTTTATGATGAAAGAACTGGACGATTCCAAATATCTTGAAATATAAGTCGAATCTATATAAGAGAATAACAGAATTGTTGAAAGAAAATCATTAGCTTTTTTTCATATTTTTAAATATATAAAGATATATATATATATATATATCATTAAATGGTACATTGAGAACCTGCACAATCTAATTTAGTCTGATGAATAAAAGGTAATAATGCAGCTCGTCATTAAAAATAATTATCAGAAGGGGTTTGTGGAGATTTTAGAAATTTCACAGATTGATATCATGAGTCAATTGAAGCTAGACCACCATGGAAAACCTGGACGCACTGGACGGCCGTTTTGTCCTAGTATGGGACTCCTCAGCAGTGTGCATCCACGATCCCGCACCCCGCGAGATTCGAACCCAGGACCTATCAGTCTTGCGCCAAGCGCTTAGTCAGATGTTGTCTGTCTACAACATCTTCAATAACAGTACAATTACAAACGAACGAAGATTGGATAGCTAAATCTCATTCACAGATTTGTTATTAATTACATTAAACAGAGTAACGTTTGAAATCTAAATAAACGGAAGACCTTGTTATACGTCTATATATAAACGCCTGGCGTGAGACTGATAGGCGCTGGGTTCAAATTTCGCGGGGTGCGGGATTGTGGATGCGAACTGCTGAGGAGTCTCACACTAGGACAAAACGGCCGTCCAGTGCGTCCAGGTTTTCCATGGTGGTCTAGCTTCAATTGACTAATGATTTCAATCTGTGAAATTTCTAAAATTTCCACAAACCCCTTCTGATAATAATCATCTGCTCACTAGTAACTGACTTCAAGAGACTTGTATATGAAATTACATCAATAATTAATTAAAACTACGAAAGTAATTGAGTTTAATAAATAAATAGGATTATCAATATAAGGTAAATTGGATAACTACATTCCCTTAAGACGATAATAATGTAATTCATTACATTAAGAGGGTATTTTTTATTCGTGAACACAAACAAATAGTAATTGAGATCATGAATTGATTAATTTTAGACCACCATTAAAAACATGGAAGCACTAAACGACCGTTTCATCCTGCTGAGGAGGTTCACGATCTCAATTAAAACTCAACAATCTCCACAACTCTATACTGAAAATAAGTAGTATTTTATGCTATTATTACTAAAAGTGCATAAGTGTGTTGTGTATAGTGAAGGTTGCACAAGATGACAAAACGTTACATTGAAGTGTACAATTAATCCTTAACTTTTTTAGTGCACTCGCTAAGAATTATATACTGCACAGTTAAGGGTATTGACAATTTAAGTACCTTCGTGTTCACAGTAAAAACATAATTTTAAATAGCTGCGAGTAATGTCACTGTTTTCAGTAGGTTTTCTAAAAAATCAAATTACCGATCTAGATATTATTCAACAATCATTAAGCTTCATCTGTTCACAAGAATGTAAACTAGCCCACATCTGTTAACTTTTCAGTTTATTCAAATAAACAAAATGAAATAAAGTTAAATAGTGACTTAATTTTTAGAAGACCCAACTTTGAACCACTAGGTTACAATGTTGACGCTTTATTTTCAGTATCCAAATCACATCGTACTAACCCTTATTCCAATGGATTTTTACCTAGATTTGTAATGGATAGACAAGCTACTGTGACTAAGAACTTTCAGTTCAATGTAGACTTTGAGTCAAGTTATTGAGTTTCGAAAGGAGGAAGTTATATCAGAACAGAACATTTAGATGGTATATTGAGAAAGTCTAACTCACATAAAATTCAGCTAAACAGTACAAATATATAGATCGATTCAATAATAATGCTATTTTTCCTATACAACTGGCATGTTAGTTCGCTAGAAATTTAAATAAAAGAATGATTTACTTGACTTTCTGTTGGACAACCGATTATTATACGATCCTCATCATTATAATGATCAGTTACCAATTGATACATGGATCTCCATTGTGATATAATACCTGATTGAATACGACGTAATAAGATATTTTCTGTATCTGGATTAGCTAGATAAATATGTAGACAGTTTCGTAAATTTGGCACAGTATGGTGTTTTACTGTATCAGGACGATTTGAACTAGAACTACGACCAAGTGCTATACAGAGTGATCGGTGCGCATTCGAAACTATTTCCTTTATGTATGATGGATTTGCGAACGGTTGGTCAGCAAGACGTGCACCTGGAGCGGCTAGGATTGAATGAGCCTAAAAATTGTCATAGAAAAAATTCGGAAATTATTCACAGAATGTTCTATGAGATGAGGAAATGATTTTACAGAATTTGGTGACCCAATAAAGAAAAGTAACTACCGCATGTTTGAGCCAACTAGAGTGCAGACAAAAGTCCGTCAGTGGATAGTAGCAGTGACATAAGTCACAATATCTAGGTTTAAGTTTAAGTTAAATTCTATCTCTCGATTTAAATTATTCATCTATTAGACCATTTGTTTAGTAGGAGTCAATCGAAACCATAAAATAGCATAATGCGCTGGATAATTTTCAAACTATTTAGTCATTTATTTGATATATTTCAAGCAAATACACTGAAAAACATATTTCTGGGGTTCTTCAAAAAAGAGAAGTTACATCACTTATCCACACATTACTACATATAACTATAGAAAAATCTTGATTAAACAGAACTCGGTCAAGGCAGTTCATAGCGATGATCCTATGACAGTTTCATAGGTTTGTTTGTATAACTGGTTGTTGGGTCTGAACTCAATTCCAGGTATGTCGATGATATTTTTATTAGCTGTGATAATATGCTTTGTATATGCTCTGTAATTTCAACAATCCTTATGAAAACATAAAGTTTGCAATAAAACATGAATACGATAAGCAGTTCAAAAAGAGTGTAATAGAAAATATATACCTTCGGAAATTTGTTATGAAATATCGGAAATTATATGCTAAACGATTGTAAACAATTAGTAGTTAACAAATAGCCTATATTTATCCGTCTTGCATTAGGGGGGGGGTGAGGTTCCAGCCGAAATTGATGCAGCTATAAAACAGAGCTTTCCTAAGGCTTAATTGATTTCATTACACAAAACTAAATCCTCACTAAACCATTCAAAAGTGAACCATATAACATCGCCTTCAGCTGCGTTTCTGAATTTACATGTATACGTATATGTAATCTTCATGAAAGATTTCGAAATCTAACCTCAGTGTACAGAAGGAAATTATGATAAACCTCTTGTTATCATGGTATAGAGAACTGTAATCAAATAATTTTACTTATTACACAATCTTATTGATGCTCCCAAATTAACTTAACCTTGACTTTTACTATGCTAATCAATTATGTTGTTGCCCATTATTTCTATTATGACTATATAATCCCTGATTACATTCTATTGTTATTTTCCGTAACTACGCCTACTTTATTACTTAATTAGTTATCTTTTTTTTCGCGACATATAAATACTCATCAGTGTTATCCTTGACATTGAATAGATAGAATGTGATTAGCAGTGGGATCCATGACAAGTGTTTCGTCCTATTTGGGAACAGTCAGTTGAATGTGCCTATATTCCAGGACAAAACGTGCGTCCAGGATTCCACTTCTAGCTATATTCCATCTATTTTATATGAACTTGTGTCGTAATAGGTATATTGAAGTAATCTGGACAGGATGCAGATATGCCAACCAAGACTGATTGAATTTCAATCAAAAATATCATCAACAATGGGATAATTCAAACCATTTCAAGTTGGATGATATCGTTTTTGAATGTTGTGTATTGTATTGTTTTATAGATTTATTATGATTTTCAGATCTATTTCAAAGAACTAGGTATCAATTTCAGTAATCAAAGTATACTAACCCTTTAATTCTAATTCTTGTAACCTTAAACTGCTTGTATTTGATGAGAAGCAGTGAAATGGAATGGATTCATTTTATTCTGTAAATCTTATTATTCGTGCTTTGAATTTATCAAAAGATCAAGTTGTATGAAATTACTGATGTGTATGTGGTGTTTTTCCCGAAATTGAAAAAAATTAACGTGAAGTCACAGTAATACAAAATTAGTAATAATAATAATAATCCAATATTACAGACCCGTTTAAGAAAATTTGACATTTCGCCGGTTAATTGTAAAACTTGTTGTTCAATAAGTAGTTCACAAGTATATTTTAATTGACTATCTAACTGACGTCTAGAATCCAATTCAATATCAATAGCGTTTGGAGTTTCTAATAGAAATCGTAATAATGCATTTTCTTTATTTAATGAGAATAACCCAGTTCCTTTTTGTTCCCAAATACTGAGTGCTACATCTGTAAAACAATATACAACAAAAAATATATAAAATTAAATAAATTATACGATTCGTTGGATTATTTGATAAATATAGAATTTTACATGAGTAAGATCTCCTCTCTCGATTCCACCAAGAAGCATAAGTTTGCTCTAGATTTCCAGAAATATCTTGCTGACAAGGGTCAACGAGCACGAAACATGTGTCCAGTATATCCTCTCGACTACTTCCAACCAAGTGATATTAAGGCAAAGTGGATGGGACGTAGAATCACTTAATTTAATGGCCACATTGCAACTTTATCGTCTAGTATAAATTCTCTAATTACGACCCAACTACCCTTATTGCTTAGTATTCTTGAAAACTACTTCACTCAACAAGTCCCCAAATTAGAACATGGTTGAACAGTAATGTAATTATATTACAAATAGACACGGTTAGATGGAAGTTTATTATTATTTACTGTTTATTTGAACATATAAATATTGGTACAAGGGGGCACCAAATATATATGCGCCACACAAAACAATGAGAATGAGAAGAGAAAAAAGAAGGTAAGGAGCGTAAAAGAAAAAAAGAACAATAACGACCACAGATTAGTGTAAGGTAGTGTAATAATAAAAATAAAAATAATAATAATAATAGTAATAATAATAATAATAATAATAATGGGGGAATCCTTTCAGTTAAGGAAGATACAACCACTTTTTATGAAGAAAGTAAAAGAAGGTGACACCAGGATCGTCACTGGCTTCTATTCTGAGCTATATCTGATAACGTCTCTAGCCACTGTGTTGCACCACCTCTCAGACCCCAACCAGGGAGTCGAGAAGGACCAACAGTAGGAATCGCAATACAAAAAAGTTAGTATATTTTTGACTTTTACATAAGACTCTAGAGTCTTCTCCAAGTACCGGCTACCGCTGATTGAAAAAACCAACGTCCATCATGACAGCATAAATTAACGATAGACAAAAGTTTATGCATACGTGGATCGCAACATTGAAACTGCGTCCGAGCTATATCACCCACTAATGGCCTATGGATCACTAAATGATATTAAGAAACATTCAATCATATTTTAAGATGATGAATTGCTATGTTTAACTAAATTGAGATTGGAACAACACATATAAGCGAACGACACTGTCATCAGGTCTTACTCTAAATTACATGAATATTTATATGAAAATATTAAACCAATCAAGGTAATTTATGAGTCAACGATCACACACGATAGGTAAAAAGTGTAAAATGATGGTAGGAGGACGGGTGTACTAGAACTGATAAGAATAAAAAAATAAAAGTACTAGTCAATAAGCTTTATAAGCAACGATGGATGGTGGCTAGAAATCCTAAACACCAATCGAAAGATACATGCAAACAATACCAAGTGAATTTAAACTTCACCCCAATGCACAAGCAGGTGGCTATCAGGACTCAGTTGCCAAGTGGATAACACGAAGGCGTTTGAAACGGACGGTACTGGGTTCAAGTACCGGAGTGAACATCAACTCTAGGATGTAGGTAAATCCAGCTGACGAGTCTCAAATAGGACGGAACAAGCGTTCTGGATTCCACTGTTAGCCACCATCCATCTTTGCTTATAAAACTTGTGACAATATCGAGGCAGTCCGCATAGGATGCACATATACCGACACGAGACTGATCGATTTCAGTCCTAAACAACAATGGGAAGATACAAGCAAACAATACCGAGTGTACTAGTCAATAGTTCAGCATAGGAAGCAAATCAAAATTAGACAAATATTCATAAAATAATAATCACAAAACACTATTAAAATTACTTAATAAGTGTGTAAATAGTTCGGGAGTGAAGAATACTGTTATAACTTGAAAAAGCTGATTTTTCTTGATACTACCGCGTATAACCGAGCACTAGAACACCAAACCCTTCCAAGTCGCAATAAGAAGACAGAAGACTAACGAAAGGAATATTATTCCAAACAGTGTCAAACATAGTACAAAATTGTCAGGTATTTATAATTTTTAGTGAGAACGAAATCATCATTACAGTCTTCCAATCCGCGTACAGGGGGTTATTAGCATTATCCAATGGGGAAGCTACACGTTGGAATTCTAGAACATTCTTCCGAAAGGTGATTGGATGGAACGTCTTCGGCTCCTTGTGAGCCTCTTACAGCTTCCTCGAGTTCACCGGTGGTCCGTCGTCACACCTCCCCCCTTTAAAGTCCGTTGTGTAAGATTTTTTTCTTGGATCCACCTGAAGCTTGGGTGTCGCATTCCTCTTGCGGTCCATTACTCTCGAGGGTTGTACAGCTTTCTCTCTGCGTCGTTTGTCTTTTCGATATTCGCGCTCATGATGGTTCTTCTGAGATGAATCTACGAGCAATTGAAATGGAAGTCGGTTTTCTGTGACCACTGTACTATCATTTCTTTGCATTTGATTTATATGTCTTATGCATTTTCCGACATCTTTCCGGACTAGGTACAGCACATTTCCGATTCGACGTTCTATGACACCTGGTTCCCACTTCCTATTACCTTGATACGATCTGACAAGTACCTTTTCACCCACCTGGAAGCTACGATTGACCTTACGATTTTCATTCGTGGGTTTATTTGTCTTTCTGGGCGGCAACATACTGTTAAAAACTGTCCGGATTTTCCTCCCGAACATACACTCGGCCGGAGACTTTCCTTCTGGTACTGCCGGATTAGGGGTAACTCTGTAAGACATCAAGAACTTATTAATCACTTGTTCCGGGACACCCTCACCTCCCCCTTTGACCAGAGCTCTTTTAATTGTATCCACGAATCTTTCTGCCTGGCCATTCGACTGAGGATGGTATGGAGGAGATTGTAGATGCAATATGCCATTCTCGTTGCAGAAGCGTTTGAAGGCAGATGACATAAACTGAGTACCATTGTCAGTCACTAAGATCTCTGGAACCCCAAAACAGGCAAACAATCCTGACAATCTTCTTATGGTACTCTCTGAAGTCGTATTCGGCATGTCATATACTTCCGGCCATTTTGTGAAAGCATCTACAACAACTAAGTAATTCCTGCCTTGTATCGGTCCGGCGAAATCAGCATGTATTCTTTGCCAAGGCCCGTCCGGTTTAGGCCATGGTTGTGGCTCAGTTCTCGTTGGATTCTTTGCAGCCTCTAGACAGGACCAACAGCTGCGACATTTTTGCTCTATCTCATGGTCCATTGACGGCCAGTATGCATAGCTACGAGCTAGTGACTTCATTTTACTTATCCCCGGATGCCCGCTGTGGAACTGTTTAATGACTTGGTGTCGAAGATTTCTGGGGATAACGATACGATGGCCAAACATTATACATGAATCGACAACTCTTAATGACTCTCGTCGACGAAAGTATTGTAAGAGTTCTCCGTGTAATCTAGATGAAGGCCATTTATTGAGTATGCAATGGCGAACAATCTTTAATACATTATCCTTCTTGCTGGCCTCTTTAATGGCTTCAAATGTGACCGGGAGTCCGGAAACTGCGTCTGACAATATTATGTGAACCTCGGCCTCGACATCTATAGCAGCTACAAGCACCTCTTCTTCTTGTTTTTCATGCAGACCAATCAATCTTGAGAGTGCATCTGCCTGTCCGAAATCCGTTGTTGGTTGATAATTTATCTTGAAATCATAACCCAGCAGTGTGGTAGCCCATCTCTGTAGCCGGTTTGCTGTATATACCGGGATGCCTTTTTTAGATCCAAAAACTGTCAGTAAAGGTTTATGGTCTGTAAGTAAGGTGAACTGCCGACCAAACAACATCTTGTGGAACTTTTTTACAGCAAATATAATCGCGAGGGCTTCTTTTTCTATTTGACTGTAGTTTCTTTCAGTCATAGTCAGAGATCTCGCAGCGTGAGCGATTGCTTTCTCAGAACCGTCAGGGTAGGCATGTGAAATTACTGCTCCAATTCCGTAGTTCGACGCATCTGCTGCGACTATAATTGGAAGATCGGGATCATAGTGTGTAAGGAGAAGATTCGATGATAGAAGCTGCTTCAGTTTTAGGAATGCTTCTTGGCATTCAGTTGACCAGAACCATTTAGTATCCTTTTTCAATAAGCAATTAAGAGGAGCACGATGGCGATGCAGATCTGGCAGAAAAACTCCATAATGACTAACCATTCCCAAGAAAGAACGTAAAGTTGACACATCCGTCGGTGGAGGCATGGACTTAATGGCTTCGACATTTTCAGGATCAGGTTTTCTCCCGTTTTTATCAATTATGAATCCCAAATACCGGACTTGCTCCATGTAAAAATCACATTTTTCGGCACGCAGTCTTAATCCATAATCTGCTATGCGTCTGAGAACCGTATCCACCTTATTCTCTAAATCAGCATAGTCTGTACCCATGATCAATATATCATCGAGATAAGCCGCGGTACCAGGAATGTCTTGTAACATAGTGTCCATAACTTGTTGGAAGATTGAAGGGGCAGTCTTTACTCCAAAAGGAAGTCGGTTATATCGGAACAATCCCTTGTGAGTGTTTATTGTCAAGTAATGCTTACACTCATCCGCTACCGGAATCTGTAGATAAGCGTCTGATAGGTCTAATTTCGCAAAATACTTACCCCCATTCAGTTTCGCAAATAAATCCTCTGGTACCGGCAATGGGTATTGATGGGCTTCAAGCGCTTCATTTAATCCAGTCGAATAATCTGCACATAACCGGATACTTCCATTAGGCTTTTTAACAATCACTATTGGAGCTGCCCAATCAGAAAAGTTTACTGGTTCGATTATTCCACTTATTTGCAGACGCTCTAATTCTTGTCCAACAATAGGTAGTGCTGCATAGGGTACCGGACGTTTTGGCCTGAAGACGGGGGTGACTCCCGGTTTAAGAATCAATAGTGCTTTAACCTTTTTGCATTCCCCCAACTCTTCCGTAAACACTTGACTGTGTCTTTCCAATACAACACTCTTCAGATCCTTTTCCACAGGTTTACTGGTTCTCACTGCGCTGCATATGTGGTTAATGGGGTGATTTGCTAATTGAAGTGCTTCTATCAAGTCTAGACCTAGCAAATCTAGTCCTGGATTCTGTGTGAGATATAAAGTTGCATTCGTTTTCGCATTTCCCTTCGAGACTGTACAACAAACCTCTCCAACAATATTTAGTTTTCCTCCAGATGCGCTGTGAGCTAATTGGGTTGTTGGGAGCATCTGTGGTTTACCGATAAGATTCCAAGTTCTCTGACTAATAAGTGTGATGTCAGAAGCGGTGTCGAGTTGCAGGCGGGCACGCTTTTTATTTATATCCAAGTTTACATACTTTCTTTGGCGGCAAATTCGTGCTCGATTACGTGATACCAATATTTTGTTAGTTCGAGCACTAAATCTGTATTTCTTCGAGTAGGGTTTCAAAGAATGTCGTTTATGGGTTCTTTTTCTGCAGCAGTTTTCTTTATGTCCCTTGCGATGACACTTGCTACAACAATGTTCTTTATATGGGCAGAACCTTTTATAATGCCAACCACCACAAGACCAACATGGAGATGAAGGCTGATTATATGTGTGCGATGCCTTTCTTGAGCAAGAATCGTTCTTTCCGTTTACAGCACGAACGTATGGCAACTGGCTATTATTTTCGACCATCGAAGTGTCATGCTTTAGGTTCACCAATCTCTGGCACTCTGCGGTTACTTCTTGTAGTGTCATATTCGGACATTGTTCAATTTTACTCAAAATTCTAGTTCTAATATCGGCATCTTCGGGAGATTGGAGGCTGCACACAAATACGAGACACTTAAACTGGTCTTCTGTCATTGCTGATAGTTTGAAACGCTCACATTCACGGTTTACTAAACCCGCATGTTTCACCCAGTCATCATCACCTGCTTTTGTCATCTTGAGACATTGATAACGAATATTAAACAAGGATGACTGTTCAGCAAAGATTTGCGACAAAATTTTAATCGTTGCATCAAAAGAAAAATCTCTTGGATTCTTTGGAAGGATAAAGTTACTGTAACGTTCATGTTCAACAGTTCCAAGTTTTCGCAAGAGTATTCTGACCTTAGCGGCGTCATCAAGTTTTTGGAGGTCGACCTTGAACAAATCTTCATATTTCTTGAACCAAGTTTCAAAAGTAATGCCAGCTGAACCATCAAAATTAAATTCATGGATAGAATTAACAATCTGGTCAACATGAGATTTGAAGGGATCATCTGTAACTTCTTTTTGATCCAGGTTCATTTTCTGAGTTAGCATCTCTATCATGCGCGTCTGGAACTGTTCAAAACGTTTTTCTTGGCGTTCCAATAAGGCTTCAAATTGTTCAAAGGTAAATGACATATTGGTACAATAACCCGTCGCCAGATGTTATAACTTGAAAAAGCTGATTTCTCTTGATACTACCGCGTATAACCGAGCACTAGAACACCAAACCCTTCCAAGTCGCAATAAGAAGACAGAAGACTAGCGAAAGGAATATTATTCCAAACAGTGTCAAACGTAGTACAAAATTGTCAGGTATTTATAATTTTTAGTGAGAACGAAATCATCATTACAGTCTTCCAATCCGCATACAGGGGGTTATTAGCATTATCCAATGGGGAAGCTACACGTTGGAATTCTAGAACATTCTTCCGAAAGGTGATTGGATGGAACGTCTTCGGCTCCTTGTGAGCCTCTTACAGCTTCCTCGAGTTCACCGGTGGTCCGTCGTCACAAATACGAACGGAGAAATGTGGAAAATTTCAAGCGAATATGGGATGTAAAAACATCAATAAAATTGTTTATTAAGTCATATATGGCCTGGGAAGAACAGAGGTGTCACAAATTTCACCTGAACGCATAAACTATGGTTATAGATTCGGATTCTTATAGCTTCTGGTATATGTACGAGTCGGGATTTGAAGCAATCTGTCCAAAATATTGACTGGCAATTAGAAAAAATTGGTTCATCATCCTAAGAGTAGAACACAATAATCGCGATAAAGTATAATACAACTTAAAAACAAAATACATAAAATATAATTACACAGGATAACTTACTTTTATATGGAGAAAAATCTAGGCTAGTTTCCTTAACTAAAAATTCAATGCCAAATGGTACCATTTGTTCACGAAGTATTAACAAATGTTTGATAAGAAATAATTGACCATCAATGGTTGTCCGACGGAGACTAATTGAATCACTTGCTTTAACTAATGACTGAACGCACATGGATACACATTCCTGGGCCAAACCACGAAACGAATCAGTCTGAAAGTGAATGTGTGTATGCCACAATAAATAAGACAACATACATGTGTTTATGAATGTATACATGATTGAATACGACAGCACAAAAGCAAACAGTGGGAAAATGCCTTAGTGATCAAATTATTCAGTTATCATGCAGTAGGTTTTGGGCTTGAACCTCACTACCTGGTAATAGCTGAAGCCATTGGAATTCGTACATATAACCCCAATTTATGTGTACAGAAGAAATACGTGACTCCCGTATCCCTTCCATGACCAGTTATAACTTAACTAACAATTTTTTATCATTTTCATTATTATTATTATTATTTTAAATTTTAGTATTATCATTATTTATTTTATTCTATCTGTGTTATCGTTAACCTTATTTCCACATCCATTATTTGTTTGTAATTTTCCGCCTCTTTGTATTCTTCACTATCGAATTATTTACATACATCTTATTACGTAATGATTTTAATGTTTTGTGATTACTATTCCTAGTTCATTTACTCATGTTTGTTTGACCTTCTATTTCCAACGATTAACTATTGATAAGAGTTTTGTTATTGTATTTTATTATTCTCACTATTATCAGTTCACCTGTCTTCCTACTACTATCAACTTGTACTTTTACCTATTATGTGTAGTGACTTATTCTATTTCATAGTGATTATTGACCCATATTGCCTTGATTGGTTTAAAATTTTCGCATAAATATTCATGTATATTAGAGTAAAGCCTGATGACGATCTAATTGAAAACAATTGTTCGCTTATATGTGTTGTTCTAATACCAAAATTGTAAGCCAAAGCAGAATACATAATAATCCGCACTTGATTACGTTCGTTTATTCTCCGTGGACACTACACAGCTTGAAAATAATACGTCTTGTAGAGCAGGACGTCAATATCAACAAAAAAATGACTTCGATTTCTGTTCAAAAGATACACCAAATAAAGGTGAACGAATAACGAAAACAACTGCGTTTGAGACAAATTGCCACATGTCGAAAAAATGAGAGATAGCTAAAATGGAGACAAAGTTTGGTAATCCGTTAGTCTAGATTGTTTAAAATTTGAGCGTTCTATGACAAGCTGACATATCATTGTCATAATTAAAGAAACAAAAATGTTTTAAGGATTTATTGATACATTGAGCTCATAATTGGCTACTAAAAACCACTTCATCTCCCATCACAACTTAATATGCAACACAATAAACAGGATTATTGGTCACTAAGTAACAGATCCCAGTGAATTTGTATATATATATATACATATATATATATATATATATATATATATATATATATATATATATATTATTTAACGCAAAATGACAAAGTGCCTTTATAAAGTACGAAAACACATTAAATACATTATTTGGAAATCTTTCATCAGTTGATACATTCTTCAAACTCTGTTGTTATTTTAATTGCGCTGTATTTCCTTTCCTGCTCTCTTCAATTCAATCTTCTGCTGGCAGGCATTCTACTTCCGATTGCTGCTAAGTAATGCTTATATCTGTCAGCACAGGTAGCATACAGTACATATATAGTTTTGAGTTAGCTTTCAGAATATTAGGCTCTCAAACGCGTAAAAATCATGGTCTGAACAATGAATCTAAGCACTGTAAAGTTAAGCTTAGCTGTCAGGCACTAGTTATTGAAGTCATTGAAAACTAGACTGAGCCATATTAATAGGGTCGGGGAAATGATTATCACACCCAGTGGTTAGAGACTTTATGTGACATGGCTCAGAATCATTTGCAACGGTTCAGGTGCATTTACTCTTTGTTTCCATTTAGAACCAAAGTCCCAAAATATCCTTATACCTTTTTTTCTTTTCAACTATTACTGATACTGTTACTACTTCTACTACTATGGGATTTATATTGATAATTTTATTTCGCTTTGCTAATGTGGTGTGGCAAAATTAACCGATGAATAAATGTACCGGGTTACACATTGTTTATGACTGAATAACTGACTAAAGCTTAACTCTAAACCGCCACATCAACTTCTCGAATCAGCCTTAGATCATTGAAATTTGCACCTCCAATCAATGATATCAGTCGCCCTGATGAATTCAGCCAGTGAACTTACATTCTAATTCATATCGACAAAGTAGCGACAAGCATAGTTAATTTTTATATGATAAATATATTGGTTTCTATTTCCATGATATATTTCCAGCAGTTGCTTGAGAAAAAGTATAAACTTACATCTAGGCAACGATTGAGTTTTGAGAGACATACCAAAGTACGACGTACTGTTGGATACCACATACCATGTAAGTCTGCTGGAGCTAAAGACATATTAGGTCCTGGTTGAATTGCCAAATCAGAAGTAGTAGACTTATTCTGTAAATTGGACTCGGAAGAATCATTTTCTGCGACAATTTCCTCAGAGTTTTCATGCTCCTTTTCTTTATCCGGTGAATTGTTTGAATCAATAGGCATCGAAATACTTTTTGCTATGTCCTACAAATCCGTTAAATAAAAAACATGAAAATAGGATGCTTGACAATGGATAATAATTGTTAAATATTACAACAGACAAGAATGGATAGAGCTATAAAATTATTCCACAGAATCACTGTTACAATTATTTTAGCATTAGTTTTAGATTAGCTAAATATACGAATCCAATGGACAAATGACGTATGAAACGAGTAGATGGGATAAATAAGAAAGAATAATAATACAAATCAACTCAAAGAACAAAAAATGGTGTTATACAATCCAGTCAAGTTATCGACATATATTCATATAGATCATTAGTGAGATTAATTAAATGTTAATGAGTACCTAACTGAATGATAGTAAATGTGAAGAGTTTAAATGAATTGATTTTAACTCCTAAGTGATATTATAAGGTATAATAAAAAGTATTAACATCAGATATGTAATTTTGACCATCCAGTATACTTTAGTGGAAAGATACAAATTATGTCTATGGTTTACGTAGTTACTGTGGTTTATATTTGGCAGATATAAATAAGCTAAGATGGAAGAAAGTGATTTTAAGCATGGATTTCTCTTCGAAGCACTGATAAATGAGATAAAATTTAGTATTCTACATTAAATAAAAATAAGGTTTTGAGGGTTTCCATCAACCACCTTCAAATACACAATGTTATAGCAAGTTTATCAATGGCTTTATTTATGTCCTAAGTATACTCAGTTTAAATGACTCGTTGAACGTTTGAAAACACTTAAAAAAGACTTATTAAAACATGAGCTGGATTATATATATATATATATATATATATATATATATATATATAAGCAGATATAGTTTCCTTACGTTCATCATTTCCAATTTTTCAGGGTAAGAAAGATCTCCAGGACTTGGAACAAAACCAAAAATTTGTGATTTAACATATATATGTGCACGAAATATTAATCTTTCTTGAATATCAGCCAGCAACATTCCACAGAGATCATTAAATGCCAGCATATCTGGTGCTTTAAGTTAAAAGTACGAAATGAATAAACATATTTAATCCATAACAAATAAAAAGCATAACTATAAGATAATTTGAACGTAATTGATAACGAATTTGTTGCCAAAATGGTTTGATTAACTTTAAATAATTTTTTTCTAGTGAAGATTTATGTACTCGGCTATGACGAAAGAATTACTAACAATTTCCATCTACATACATAAGATGAACAGTATGGAAATATTACTGTAGGTTAAAATAACTAAATTGCTAGACGTTAACAGTTGATAAGTAGCACTAAGCATAAAGTTACAAAAGTAGTCATACACTAATGAATATATTTGATTTTCAAAATGCCAACATCTTACATTAGATCACTTTTCTACCTTCAGAGATTGGATTACTATTGTTTAAACTATAGTTAACGTGAAATCTGACTATTGCTTTTCAAGCTCCTATGCTTTTTTATTTCCATGTGTCAAACTATACTACTTGTCAATCGAAAGTAGTTTCAGCAATATTCCATTGTACAAATTGATGATTAGTGTTAATTTCAAGTAATAAATCAATGATCCTATCGGTTCATATGATTATTTATATATTTGAGTTAGCCTTTCCGTCTGTGATAACGTTTTACTTCCCTATTCTTCTCTAATTCAAATGTATGCGATATTATGATTGTCCTGGATACTAAATTGATTTCCCATCACCTGCTGTAGTTAATGCTTAACGCAACCGCGTAATATTTTCTGATTCATGGTACTTATTGTAGTTTTATTTGAATTCAGTTATTTTGAAGAAGCGCTTTGTCGATTAAATTTTCGACGGTCCCTGACCACGTCACCATTGCAGGTATGTAAGTTTTTACTTTTTGTTTTATTTGTTACAATAGTCCTTCAACTTTGGGTAAATTTTTTTGGTGATGGGATTTTTAAATATAACTTTGTTTTGGGGTTAGAATATTAACACAGACCCTGAAATAACATTGTTATACTCATAAAGACTATGATTTTAATGTTAGAAGATTGGAAAAGACTTTAGATGAAAGCATACCGGCTAGTGGATAAATTTTATTCTTTTAAAAATAACATCCAATAGTTAGGTGAATCCATTATAAATATGAATTTTGAGTAGTTACTATTACTTTTCATGACTTAGTGTAGAAAAACGTGGCTTCACACGCAATTTCGTCCACTAAGATATTAAGCGAAATGAAGATCTTGCAATGAAGAAAATTTTCTTTTCGGCAATATTATTTTCTAGACTTGTACAATCGTATTTATAGCGAATTTTAAAATATAATGGTCAATAATAAAAATAGAGGATTATTATCCAACTGAAGTGAGAATAGTGTTTTCCCGCAGATGCCTAAAACGAGGGTGTTTCAAAGGTAGACTACCACTTTGAAATACTTCAGTGTGCATTTACCAGTTCACTTTCTCTAGTGCAGCTTACTATGTTGACCACACAAAGCGGGCTCTTTCCAACGGTATCCATATCACGGTTATCGAAAGGTGAGTCAATAGCTTAACTGCTGAACATCTAGTCAATTCTAGCAATTTATTTATACCTGAATATTCATTAGAAATTATTCACAAAGTAAGACGAACTGATTTAAAGGAAGGCGGGATAAGAAACTTGTACATGATGGATGCTTCGGAGATTCATCGATTTAGGCCTGATCTCTGTGTGCTGAAGCAGTGCATTCATTGACTTAGTTCATCATGGTCCTAACACCTTCGTATTTTGTCAATTATTTCTTGAGAACTGTTTAGTTTAGTTTCTTCGTCTTATTATATATTTCAAGTGGACAATTATTTTCCATATCCCTGTCCTGTATCTTACTTTGACACGTGTTCGTCCAATATTTCAATCTTCCTTATAATCGTTAAGTAGATAATCTTTCATGCCTTGTTTCTATATGGTATTTCATATTTACCACGTAACTTAAAATTGTGATTAACTTTCAGTACCTCTGTTAATGACGTGATGACTATCCATTTTTATTACAGGCCATTAAATGTAAAAAATAACCATAAATACAATTGTACAGCTCTGGAAAATGATATCATTGGGAAAACGTTTTCTTCGCTGGAACGTTCATATTTATTAATTATAAAAGGATTCAGGTTAATCGAAATGAAAATATTAAAATGTCATGTCAATATGTAGGTGTTAACCTTAGGAAATTGAAAACTAGTTATATCATAATGAATTCATAATTTAAAGCAATAGACTACAACGTTAAGTATAAAAATATAGAACGATATAAAGAAATGTCTTAGTTATTTTAAATATGCTTACAATTAGTTGTCTTTTTAGGATCATCTTGTTGAAGTAATTCATCTTTCAATATATCACAAAGTTCAGATAATATTTCAACGTGATTGATATGAATTATTAAAGGTCTAACAGCATCATACAAACATCGACATAATTTAGACAACATTTGACTAGGAATTAAAATTTTTTGAGAAAATAAAATGAAATGTAAGATTATGTTGGTAAAAAGTGGGAACTAAATTCAGCATAATCGTTATTAGTGTATAAAATTAAGCACATCTTACCACTTTCCAATATTACAGAACTCAATACTTATATCTAACTAAGTATGATGTCTTTAATATCTGTTGATATCTAACAATCAAAATCGTCCAATGATAAACACTGTTTAGCATAGAAGAACGGTTAAGTCATGGTGTATGAGCTATATACTTTCGATTAATTGAGTTCCTAAGACTGACATAGATTACCTAGTGTAAATAATTATAACTTGAAAAAGCTGATTTCTCTTGATACAACCGCGTATAACTGAGCACTAGAACTCCAAACCCTTCCAAGTCGCAATAAGAAGACAGAAGACTAACGAAAGGAATATTATTCCAAACAGTGTCAAACATAGTACAAAATTGTCAGGTATTTATAGTTTTTAGTGAGAACAAAATCATCATTACAGTCTTCCAATCCGCGTACAGGGGGTTATTAGCATTATCCAATGGGGAAGCTACACGTTGGAATTCTAGAACATTCTTCCGAAAGGTGATTGGATGGAACGTCTTCGGCTCCTTGTGAGCCTCTTACAGCTTCCTCGAGTTCACCGGTGGTCCGTCGTCACACCTCCCCCCTTTAAAGTCCGTTGTGTAAGATTTTTTTCTTGGATCCACCTGAAGCTTGGGTGTCGCATTCCTCTTGCGATCCATTACTCTCGAGGGTTGTACAGCTTTCTCTCTGCGTCGTTTGTCTTTTCGATATTTGCGCTCATGATGGTTCTTCTGAGACGAATCTACGAGCAATTGAAATGGGAGCCGGTTTTCTGTGACCACTGTACTATCATTTCTTTGCATTTGATTTATATGTCTTATGCATTTTCCGACATCTTTCCGGACTAGGTACAGCACATTTCCGATTCGACGTTCTATGACACCTGGTTCCCACTTCCTATTACCTTGATACGATCTGACAAGTACCTTTTCACCCACCTGGAAGCTACGATTGACCTTACGATTTTCATTCGTGGGTTTATTTGTCTTTCTGGGCGGCAACATACTGTTAAAAACTGTCCGGATTTTCCTCCCGAACATACACTCGGCCGGAGACTTTCCTTCTGGTACTGCCGGATTAGGGGTAACTCTGTAAGACATCAAGAACTTATTAATCACTTGTTCCGGGACACCCTCACCTCCCCCTTTGACCAGAGCTCTTTTAATTGTATCCACGAATCTTTCTGCCTGGCCATTCGACTGAGGATGGTATGGAGGAGATTGTAGATGCAATATGCCATTCTCGTTGCAGAAGCGTTTGAAGGCAGATGACATAAACTGAGTACCATTGTCAGTCACTAAGATCTCTGGAACCCCAAAACAGGCAAACAATCCTGACAATCTTCTTATGGTACTCTCTGAAGTCGTATTCGGCATGTCATATACTTCCGGCCATTTTGTGAAAGCATCTACAACAACTAAGTAATTCCTGCCTTGTATCGGTCCGGCGAAATCAGCATGTATTCTTTGCCAAGGCCCGTCCGGTTTAGGCCATGGTTGTGGCTCAGCTCTCGTTGGATTCTTTGCAGCCTCTTGACAGGACCAACAGCTGCGACATTTTTGCTCTATCTCATGGTCCATTGACGGCCAGTATGCATAGCTACGAGCTAGTGACTTCATTTTACTTATCCCCGGATGCCCGCTGTGGAACTGTTTAATGACTTGGTGTCGAAGATTTCTGGGGATAACGATACGATGGCCAAACATTATACATGAATCGACAACTCTTAATGACTCTCGTCGACGAAAGTATTGTAAGAGTTCTCCGTGTAATCTAGATGAAGGCCATTTATTGAGTATGCAATGGCGAACAATCTTTAATACATTATCCTTCTTGCTGGCCTCTTTAATGGCTTCAAATGTGACCGGGAGTCCGGAAACTGCGTCTGACAATATTATGTGAACCTCGGCCTCGACATCTATAGCAGCTACAAGCACCTCTTCTTCTTGTTTTTCATGCAGACCAATCAATCTTGAGAGTGCATCTGCCTGTCCGAAATCCGTTGTTGGTTGATAATTTATCTTGAAATCATAACCCAGCAGTGTGGTAGCCCATCTCTGTAGCCGGTTTGCTGTATATACCGGGATGCCTTTTTTAGATCCAAAAACTGTCAGTAAAGGTTTATGGTCTGTAAGTAAGGTGAACTGCCGACCAAACAACATCTTGTGGAACTTTTTTACAGCAAATATAATCGCGAGGGCTTCTTTTTCTATTTGACTGTAGTTTCTTTCAGTCATAGTCAGAGATCTCGCAGCGTGAGCGATTGCTTTCTCAGAACCGTCAGGGTAGGCATGTGAAATTACTGCTCCAATTCCGTAGTTCGACGCATCTGCTGCGACTATAATTGGAAGATCGGGATCATAGTGTGTAAGGAGAAGATTCGATGATAGAAGCTGCTTCAGTTTTAGGAATGCTTCTTGGCATTCAGTTGACCAGAACCATTTAGTATCCTTTTTCAATAAGCAATTAAGAGGAGCACGATGGCGATGCAGATCTGGCAGAAAAACTCCATAATGACTAACCATTCCCAAGAAAGAACGTAAAGTTGACACATCCGTCGGTGGAGGCATGGACTTAATGGCTTCGACATTTTCAGGATCAGGTTTTCTCCCGTTTTTATCAATTATGAATCCCAAATACCGGACTTGCTCCATGTAAAAATCACATTTTTCGGCACGCAGTCTTAATCCATAATCTGCTATGCGTCTGAGAACCGTATCCACCTTATTCTCTAAATCAGCATAGTCTGTACCCATGATCAATATATCATCGAGATAAGCCGCGGTACCAGGAATGTCTTGTAACATAGTGTCCATAACTTGTTGGAAGATTGAAGGGGCAGCCTTTACTCCAAAAGGAAGTCGGTTATATCGGAACAATCCCTTGTGAGTGTTTATTGTCAAGTAATGCTTACACTCATCCGCTACCGGAATCTGTAGATAAGCGTCTGATAGGTCTAATTTCGCAAAATACTTACCCCCATTCAGTTTCGCAAATAAATCCTCTGGTACCGGCAATGGGTATTGATGGGCTTCAAGCGCTTCATTTAATCCAGTCGAATAATCTGCACATAACCGGATACTTCCATTAGGCTTTTTAACAATCACTATTGGAGCTGCCCAATCAGAAAAGTTTACTGGTTCGATTATTCCACTTCTTTGCAGACGCTCTAATTCTTGTCCAACAATAGGTAGTGCTGCATAGGGTACCGGACGTTTTGGCCTGAAGACGGGGGTGACTCCCGGTTTAAGAATCAATAGTGCTTTAACCTTTTTGCATTCCCCCAACTCTTCCGTAAACACTTGACTGTGTCTTTCCAATACAACACTCTTCAGATCCTTTTCCACAGGTTTACTGGTTCTCACTGCGCTGCATATGTGGTTAATGGGGTGATTTGCTAATTGAAGTGCTTCTATCAAGTCTAGACCTAGCAAATCTAGTCCTGGATTCTGTGTGAGATATAAAGTTGCATTCGTTTTCGCATTTCCCTTCGAGACTGTACAACAAACCTCTCCAACAATATTTAGTTTTCCTCCAGATGCGCTGTGAGCTAATTGGGTTGTTGGGAGCACCTGTGGTTTACCGATAAGATTCCAAGTTCTCCGACTAATAAGTGTGATGTCAGAAGCGGTGTCGAGTTGCAGGCGGGCACGCTTTTTATTTATATCCAAGTTCACATACTTTCTTTGGCGGCAAATTCGTGCTCGATTACGTGATACCAATATTTTGTTAGTTCGAGCACTAAATCTGTATTTCTTCGAGTAGGGTTTCAAAGAATGTCGTTTATGGGTTCTTTTTCTGCAGCAGTTTTCTTTATGTCCCTTGCGATGACACTTGCTACAACAATGTTCTTTATATGGGCAGAACCTTTTATAATGCCAACCACCACAAGACCAACATGGAGATGAAGGCTGATTATATGTGTGCGATGCCTTTCTTGAGCAAGAATCGTTCTTTCCGTTTACAGCACGAACGTATGGCAACTGGCTATTATTTTCGACCATCGAAGTGTCATGCTTTAGGTTCACCAATCTCTGGCACTCTGCGGTTACTTCTTGTAGTGTCATATTCGGACATTGTTCAATTTTACTCAAAATTCTAGTTCTAATATCGGCATCTTCGGGAGATTGGAGGCTGCACACAAATACGAGACACTTAAACTGGTCTTCTGTCATTGCTGATAGTTTGAAACGCTCACATTCACGGTTTACTAAACCCGCATGTTTCACCCAGTCATCATCGCCTGCTTTTGTCATCTTGAGACATTGATAACGAATATTAAACAAGGATGACTGTTCAGCAAAGATTTGCGACAAAATTTTAATCGTTGCATCAAAAGAAAAATCTCTTGGATTCTTTGGAAGGATAAAGTTACTGTAACGTTCATGTTCAACAGTTCCAAGTTTTCGCAAGAGTATTCTGACCTTAGCGGCGTCATCAAGTTTTTGGAGGTCGACCTTGAACAAATCTTCATATTTCTTGAACCAAGTTTCAAAAGTAATGCCAGCTGAACCATCAAAATTAAATTCATGGATAGAATTAACAATCTGGTCAACATGAGATTTGAAGGGATCATCTGTAACTTCTTTTTGATCCAGGTTCATTTTCTGCGTTAGCATCTCTAACATGCGCATCTGGAACTTTTCTTGGCGTTCCAATAAGGCTTCAAATTGTTCCAAGGTAAGTGACATATTGATACAATAACCCGTCGCCAGATGTTATAACTTGAAAAAGCTGATTTCTCTTGATACAACCGCGTATAACTGAGCACTAGAACTCCAAACCCTTCCAAGTCGCAATAAGAAGACAGAAGACTAACGAAAGGAATATTATTCCAAACAGTGTCAAACATAGTACAAAATTGTCAGGTATTTATAGTTTTTAGTGAGAACAAAATCATCATTACAGTCTTCCAATCCGCGTACAGGGGGTTATTAGCATTATCCAATGGGGAAGCTACACGTTGGAATTCTAGAACATTCTTCCGAAAGGTGATTGGATGGAACGTCTTCGGCTCCTTATGAGCCTCTTACAGCTTCCTCGAGTTCACCGGTGGTCCGTCGTCACAAAATACATCAATACAATTATCCAAAGTCTAATCGACCCAAATGCCCTGGTATGGCCGAGAGTGGAATGGGGCCGCCCTCCCTTTCGAAATGCCCTCGCACGGCCACGCGTATACAGCCTCTGTCAGGGAAGTCCAACTCACTGCCTTCTCGTGGCAGGGGTGTTGTTTGTGAAAATGAGAGGACGAAAAGCGAATGTCCGGCGCTTTAACGGGATCCCAAACCAATGGTGCACATGGGCTCCAGGATCCTGAGGGATTAAATGGCGTATGAACCAATCGTTGTTCACCGGCTACCATGGGACTGCATCTCCTCACGATGATCCATTGCCTTGCGGGTCAGACCTTTAGGTCCAAGGCTCGGGGTGTGGCCCCCTAAGAAAACCACCTGCCTCGGTCTGGACACTCGGGCAGTATCACAGCCCTAACACAAATCGAATGATTTATGTGGCGCACATCTACTTGGTGCCTCCTTGTAACAATGTTTATGTGATTAAATAAATAAATAAATAAATTTTCGGGCCTCATTGAAACTTCATCTCTTTCTGACATCGACATCAAAACCTACGGACAATAGATTTAATCCTATATATATATATATATTAGTTTTTTATTGATGAATTTTGTTTACAGAACTTAATGAATAAACGAAAATATCAATAAATTAGGCGAGACCTTTAGTAATTCAATAACCATTTCATTAAACGTCACGCTAAGCATAACTCTTCCACAGGACTGAATTAAGGAATGTTTACATTTGTATATCGAGAGGTGTCGACATTAAGAATGAGAAAAGTGGTTTTACTAACATAGAAGTAATACTGTACGACGAGGATTAGCATGCCAAAAGACCTTTTTATAGATTTTTATTTTCAGTCGATTATGTTAAAAAGCGATATTTTGTCTTGATATGCTAAACTATTGGAAACACAAGTATTCGTTATTGACACCAAAAATTAACAATTGTTTACATCCTAAAACCCAAGACGTTCACATACATTATCATCACTTATTATTCAAGCTTTAATCTATGTGAAAATATTTTATAATTTCAAAGATCTTTGCCACCAATTATCCAAGATAGAACTAAATTAATTCATGAAATTCATATGATAAAAACATAGGTATATATAGCTTACTTAATTGATTGTGAAAAGTTTGATGAAAAGAATTGATTAAACAAACGCATTTCATCTTCACACATATGTAATATGAATGTTCCAGCAGTGCGAAGTAGTGTACAATGATCACCAGTATATTTTTGAAGTAGTTCTGAAACTCCATTTTGTGCAACAGGTGTCAATAACTCTTCTCGATGATGTAAGTAAAATTTATGACACTCTTGAATTACCTGAGCATACCTGAAATAGAAATTTCAAACTAATTGATCCAACTGACGGTAATCCACCAAATAATTTTATAATTTTAATACTACCACAATTTATTCAACTAGTCTTAACAAAAAATACCAATCTGAATAAACGTTTAGAAGAACTCTATGAAAGATCACTGGTCTTGACACTCTAGTAACGATCGATACATTCTCGTCAAGTGTTTCTGTCGGGTAACCAAAGTTGAAATTATTTTATGATAAAATATGAGTTTTCGTGACTCGATTAAGGAAATAAAATCTCACTACCAAACTGTTAAATGCAGATCACTGAAATTGTATGTGGTTTATTGTAAAACACTAGTACTTATATCTGAAACCATGAATCGCACGACGCAAAAGCACAAAGACGACAGGTGAGGATTTATTAAACGCCAAAAAACTAAAAATGATACCTGAAAATGTTTACTCTAATATGTTTTATTTGGAATAATTAACAGTCAGATTCGAATAAATTAAACTGGGTAGTACATGACATTAGCTAATCAACAACTTACTGTATGAACATAAATTTACAATATCATAGAGTTAACCCCCACCAACCAAGAGATCTAAATAATCTATTAAATTATAAAATTACTCCTTAAAATCCGGCTACATGTCACTAGTGATTGGAAAAGGTTAGTTGTGTATGTCACTAGAACCCTACTCAATTAGGTCTTTGCTCACCAGTGTAGTTTATCCTTAAGAAATAAATTACAAAGTTTTTAAAAAAATGTACATAATGATCAACGTTAATGATTTATTGATAAATCAGAATTCAAGGACTTCGGTTATCATAAAATTCAAAAACATCCTGGTTTAATTCATCTTGATACCCGACCGTGAATATTTTATGAAATAACTGGGTACTGTAGCTGATGATCCATTCATAACTCCTTCCCTTAAAAGAGTCGTGGCTAATTGGGATTCATCATATTGAGAAACTGGTACAGATATAGAACCATTTTTTAAAACATATATAGTGCCTTTAGGATTGAAGCAAATAAGTGAAGCATAAAATGGCAAGCAAAAACCAACTGAAAGCGAAAGGTTATTAACAGAGGACAGTGAAAGTAAAGGATCCTAGTTAGAGATAATAATTTTTACGAACTTGAACATTTGTAAAATGGCCATAATTCATAGGTTATCATATAATACACATCTGCATTAATTTGTCGGATGGTATATGGACTTTTTATATGCTCGAATGTAGTGGGATTTCAAGAACGCACGAAAACTAGTACCCATAAATTTACATTTTTTCAGTTAACTAACACGGGTAGTTGTTATTAATTTAGAAATTTCATAATAAGTAAAAGTAATGATACATGGAAGGTATGTAGAATGAATACAACTGATTCTAAGCCATATCACCTAACATCGCTAACCAAAGATTAAGATTGCTGCGTGGGTTTCAGACAACAAATTCACTTTACAGTATGACAGCAGTTGATGACTTAGTTAATTGATTCCATGTTTTGATCTACTGACCACTAGCTTTATTACAACTTCCTCCAATACCAAACAGCATTGTACATTGCGGTAGACGGGGGATCTAAAAAGAATATCAGAACCACCTCAATTGATGAAAGTTCATAGTCTCATCAATGAAGTTCCGCACTCAAAAAAGAATTCGGCTTCTAATTTTAGCATTGCTGACTCGGAGGTTCTACTATATGCGAGTAATGCCGAGAGAAAACGTTAGATCAAATCCTTGGAGTTTATTCTTGTTTTCCATTTTATTGCCCAAGTTTCACACCTGTAGAGCAACAGACAATAGTTTATGCATGTTTCCCACCAATAAAATGCTGTAAAAATCTACTCCTGAGTCATCAACAGAAGCTTTATTATGCTGGTCTGATGAATCTATACCATAAATATAACACAATTTATCGATATTAGTAATTTAAAAAGTTAAACACATCTTTTTCAACAATAATAACAAAAATAAAGAGAAATAATCTTAACTGGAATAAAAATGGACAATTATTAGAAATATTGATAAATACAATGTTATCTATAAAACCTACTCATCAGTAACGTGTATTCTTTCTTCTAAAAGTGTCATCAACGAGCGTATTTTTGGTCCTTGTGAACGAAATCGTCCGTAAAGTAAAATAAATGAGTTCTCAGGGCTGATAACATCCTATAACATATATAAATAAATGGTGTGTTACAAAGTTAACTGGAAAATTCAGTCAGGACATTAAATGAATTATAGTTGGATTAAAAGCAAGTATCCAAATGTCACTTTCACCTGAAACAAAACAACTGAGGTTAAATAAAATAAGAAGACTTTTAAATTTCCGTAAATTTGTGTACATAAGTGTATGACTTGATGTTAATCATGTATCGGTTCAAGTTGCAAAACATACAATATAAACTATTAAAGTAGTGATAAACACTAAACATTAAAGTTACGGTTGGTGAGAAACGGTCAGTTGGAAGTGCTCGAACGAATGTAAACTACGACATAAAATAAAGCAATAGATTTCTCATCCACTGATACAAGACAAATACGGAAAAAATGTGATAAAATAATCCATACTTAAGAGTAACATTAATGACATTATATAAACAGAACACTAGGGTTTGTCAAGGAGTTAAATTAGCACATCGAAATGTGCCTAGTCACGATGCAAAAACTAAGTAAGGTATTTAGTCCTGTTGTATTGAACTGAATTTATTGCCTGTTGCACATACGAGGCATCAAATTCACGAAGGGTGGACGATTACTTTTATGTATTTCAATGCAGGTGCCAACAAGTTTTCATTCAAGTAGTCAACCTCTTCTAAATGGTACAATAGTTCATCATAGAATGTCAAATCGACTTTTAGGTGGCTGTATAAAAATCAATAGACAAAAGACTCTAGCTATATTCCAACTTTTGGAGCCAATGTGGTGAATGACATTGAACAAAGGTGATTAGAAAAAAGGCAGTTGATAACCTCTGTCTTCTATGACAATATTAAGACAAAATACTTTCAACTTCTCTCAAACGTATATTCCACATATTTTTCTAATCCGTTATCTAAACGTTTGTCAACCTTATCACTAACTTACCGACCAAATAATATTAATGGAGTGGTGGATTAGAGATTAGTGTTTACAATCTTAACAACGGAATAACAAACTTAAAGGTAACTCCACTTATTCAGTTCACACGGTTAGGTAGTATCACTGGCTATCCCAAAGAGCAATATAGCTCATAACTGCGAATAAAATTTCGTAAATAATTATTGATTTGCAGTAAATTACTACTTATCATGCAATTACCAGTGTTCTTTTATTTAGCTATCATTTCAGGCTACTTAAAATTCCGCATGATTGCTTTATAATCTTCATTTATTTCGGGTTTTTTATTCACCCGAGAACATTTACTTCTTTATCTTCTATCTAAGATCGAATGTTGTTGTTTCCAACTTCTTGTAATATTCTACATTTTAGTTTTTTTTATAGAAAGAGGAGTCAACACGTCAAAACAGAAGATTTGCAGTGTGCTTGTCCTCTGTACAGTAAGGAGCTGGCAAAAACTTATTAAATTAAATATATTCATTCCACTTACCAAACTTTTTTTAACTGCGTAGTCCTAATTAAGCATTTATTTAGTGGTTACAACATGCAACTAACAATTATTGAACAGCATGTACAAATCCTGCCCAACTAACTAGGGTTTAGAGGACCGGATAATACTATTAGTCTCTGTGTATACAAAGTAGTGTGGCTCATAAATGGAAGTGCAAACATATTGTGAGTAAACGAACGTCATTGTACTATTATTACAGAAAGTGAATCCACGAAACGTATAGAACACAATTTAGATCAAACTTACATGCAATTCCAGAAGCTCATTTATGGTTCTTTCTATGACATTAGTTACATTATTTTTAATGTATTCAAGAGCTATTTTAAGCGAGGATTTCACCTTGATTAAATAGTTTGGAGATTCTTTGAAATTTGGCTAAACAAATAAATAAACTCATCAAATGATTCGAAAGAGCATTCTTACATGTTCTAGGAAATAAAGTAAACTTGAATCAAGCTTATTTAGAATTGGCAGCAACTTCTCTCGAGATACGACGAAATTGGAAACTCCAAGTTCCTTTAGTTCAAAAAAAATATATAGGCTCAACTTACAGCTTGTAACATATCCACTTGAACAAAATTGGCTAGACATTCTTCAATTGAGCTAGCATATTCAATCATTTCATTCTGTTTACAAGTAATATGACATATGCATTAGTAGTGCTTGTAACACTCACTTGTTGCCTTAATAGATGTTCGCACAACTCATGTAACTCATTAGTGCTCTGCGATATGCTGAAGTAATTGTTTTCCAAAATCGATAATTTAGACAAAATTTCTTCAACGATGCTTAAAACTTTTGAACATTCCAATTTTTTACGAGATAAAAAAGTCAAAAATTCGCTTTTTATACAAATTTTTATTTAATTCATTTATACCTTGGTACTTCAGGTATTTCAGCACTAAGTTTTTGTTCAACAGACCATAGCCATGAATAGAAATGTGAGGCTGACTGTATAGACACATCCTGTTGGGTAGTTTGGTACTCGTATTTATCAGTCTGATTAGTATTGAAGGTCGTATGAGTAGTAGTACTGCTTACTGTAGTCTATAATGATTTTAGTTTATCAACAAGGTTGTTCCTTACTTCTCCGTGTATTGAATTCAGTGAATTCAGCAGAAACACTGACTCTAGTTGTTTTTCTGTTAGTAAAGTTTGCTGATTGTCAACGTGGTCCCATGTAATTACAGACATGTAGATTAACTGAGATGACGATGAAATTAATTGATAGTTATTCGTTGGAGTTAGAAACAGGGATGAAGTAGATCTGTAATCAAAGAGAATACATGTGTAATGATATATATATATATATATATATATATATATATATATATATATATATATATATATATATCATTGTAACATAGTACAAAATTGTCGAATAAATAACTATCTGTAGTTTCAGAGCAAAGCCATCAGCCAAGATAACTATTTACAGCCAAGAGGTAACCTTATATAAATAAAACATAATTCACATCAGTGTTATTAAGCAAAAACTTCACTACTTACTAGTTGCCAATACTACTCCGAATAAACGAAAAATTGTGTATAACTACTTCACTCCCTGACATCAAAGTTGATGTTAAGAATGAAGCATAAACGTTATACTTAGCATATGCAAAAACCACGTCATTAGATTTATCAGTGTTTCGATTTTCATGAGCACTATCTGACTGGTAATGCAGAATGGTATGACACATCCGAGTTATAGATACTAAGGAAATTGAATTTACGGACTTATTATATTCAATAAAAGCTTCATATTTGAGTACTAGAGAACATAATCATGGTCGTATTGTTGTTCTCTGTGAAATGAAGAAATTTCCTGTATATAGGTGTATAAGATAAGAAAAATGACTAAAAGCCGTCTTACTGGACGTGGAAAGACGCTGCAAGGAAACCTCTTAGGGACCTATTTAATGATAGTCAGGCTAAGAGTATATTTCAGAAACAACTAGAAAAACAGTTAGGCAGCCATGTAGGTGATGCCCACCCCGATGCAGCATGGAATGACACTTGAAAAGCTGTGGGAACAGCAGTGATATCTTCTAGTACAGTAAACCACAAGGTTAGGGGGAAACACTGGATCTCAGCAGCATCTACCTCACTGATAGATGCTCGAAAACCTATCCAATCTGGCTCTGAACATAATGAAGAGCGGAGTCAGCTTAAGCACAAGCTGAAAAGAAGCCTAAGTAATGTTCGCGAACAGTGGTGGGTAGCGAAAGCAAGAGAGATGGAAAAGGCAGCGGCAATAGGTAATAGCAGACAATTGTTCAGACTCGTTAAGGAAACCGGAATTAGGAACCCAACCGTTAGCGAAACAATCTCAGAGGAAGATGGACATATTATTCATTCTCAATCCAGGAGATTGGATCGATCGATAGGCAAAACACTTTAGGGATCAGTTCAACTGGCCTTCAGCCACACTTCGGTTTCCCACGATCTCTAGTCAACCTGAATGGCAAGTTAATGTAGGTCCTCCGTTTCTTTACGAAGTTGAAAAAGCCATAGGAAATCTGAAGCGAGGGAGAGCAGCAGACCCTGACAGGTTTACTCCTGAGATTTTTAAGGATGGTGGTCCAGTATTAGCAATGAGATTAACCGAAATCTTAGGTGGAATTTGGGAAATGGACGTAATCCCATCTGACTGATCTCAATCACTGATTGTGCCAGTCTATAAGAAAGGACAAAAGTCCTCTTGTGACAGTCACAGAGGAATCAGTTTGACTAATATAGTGTCTAAAATATTAGCTTCAATAATATGTCGACGCCTAACCAAAGCTCGTGAAGAACAGACTAGAGAAAACCAGGCTGGTTTTCGACCTGGACGTGGTTGTAAAGACCAGATATTCACACTACGTCAGGTTCTAGAACACAGATACACATTCAGACGCCCAACAATAATAGTATATCTCGACCTTGAGGCGGCATTCGACTCTGTTGATCGTGAGGTTCTATGACAGTGTTTGTCACTGAAAGGAGTACCAAAGAAGTACATTAACCTTATAAAGGCTCTCTACTCGAACACAACTGGTCGAGTGAGGGCTTATGGCGAACTGCCATCAGAATCAATTACCTCAGGGCTGTCCATTCTCTCCAGTCTTCTTTAACTTTGCCGTTGACGTGCTTTTAGAGATAACACTTTCCTCATCTAAATTCACAGGGGTTGAACTTCACCCGGAAGATTCACTTGTTGACTTAGAGTATGTCCATGACATAGTTCTATTTGGTGAAGACGCTGAACAAATGCAGTCTTCTGATCACTCTTAGCAACAATGCAAGTATGTTCGGCATGCCATTCTCCCCTTCGAAATGTAAAATTTTGCTTCAGAGTTGGGTTGCATTGACACCCAAACTAACGATAGGGAGTGAAGTAATTGAGCGTGTCGATCGCTTCACTTATCTTGGAAGTCTCACCAACCCTTGTGGTCTGGTGTGTGACAAAATCTCAGCACGGATACAGAAGGCTCGACTAGCTTTTACCAACTTGTGTCATTTATGGCGTAGGTGAGATATCCGTCTATCAACCAAAGGATGGGTTTACTGTACAGCAGTCTATTCCGTCCTGCTTTATGGCAGTGAAACATGACCGGTAAGAGTAGAGGATATTCGTAGGTTACTAGTGTTTGATCACAGGTGTATTCGAAACATTACTCGTATATCCTGGGACCATCGAGTAAGTAACTCAGTTGTTAGGAAACGGGTACTAGGTAAGGATGGAAAATCAATTGATGAAGTGGTGAAACTTCAGCTTCTTATCCCATCCTAAGTTCTGTAAAAGTCAAAAAACCGTGTTAATTATTATTCGCATTAATACCCGTTTCTATGAGGAAGTCAAGACGAATTTCCCGGCTCTTCAAACGAGAGGTGGGATATATAGCTTGGCTGCAGGCGAGAACGAAATTCAGTGTAAATTAAGGAGGAAATTAAATAGTCTGTTGTAAAGTTAGAAGAAACGTTAACAGTTTGAAGATGACTAAGGAGTGAATTCAGAGACCGCCTCATGGGAGACACTCGGGCGAAATGTCTCATTATTTTCTCAGCGTAGGAAAGGAGGTGAGTGTTATTTACAATCTCGAATGACTTAACATCAAATTTCCTCAGCTTGTATCTCCCATATTTTCTCAAATATCACCTTTATCTCTTCATTCTTGTGTTCGATGGGTGAGAATAATTTAGACGCTCGCTTAAGAACTATGATTTTTGAAAGCACAGAAATGAGTTATGAGTATATATATATATATATATATATATATATATATATATATATATATATATATATATATAGCGTAAGAAACACTTCTGGGACTTATTCTTGTTGACAGGTCACGCATCATTTAAGCGTGAGTACCAAAAATCCCGGGATATTTGTAAGAAAACCATAGCTAAATACCGTACTACTTACGAACGACAGTTGGCATATGATAGCCGTACTTGTCCAAAACGACTGTTTTCGTATGTTAAACGGCGAATAAAACGTACTGATGGTATTCCCCTGTTACTGTTACACGAAAATTCAGATTTACTAGCTGAGTCAAACCGGGCAAAAGCCGAGACTTTTTCAAACTATTCAAGCGAAGTCTATTCTACGTTTATTGTAAGAAATAATTTTCCCACCCAGCCATTGAATCGGTACAGGTGACTGAAGAATCTGTTTTTCCATTGATAACTAACCCCGAAATTTGTAAGGTACCGGGCCCAGCCCCATGCAGCACTAGTACTCTCCGAGGTCATAGCAAGAAGGTTCATAAACCGAGATCTAATAAACTTGAAGTAGGGTCCCGTTTTTCTCATCGAGTAGTCAATGATTGGAACGCCTTAACCGGACAAGTGGTATTAGACCCATCATTGAATATTTTCAAGGAGAAACTGAACCTTCATTGGAAGGCAATCTGTCGGGATTAAGACATGTTCACCGATCTATTATCCTCATTACTGAAGACTGAAGATATATATATATATATTAAGTAAAGATATATATATATAAATCTCCACTTACTAGTCAACAGTTGTGCCAAATGGTTGATAACTCAGATGTATTTACAGTCCTTAGGTGTTACCTCATTATTTATTTAGTTTTCAAGGCTTTACTGTAGATTGTTTATAAAGAATTCCACAATACCTAATGTCAAAATGAGTTAACTCATCCTTAAATTCAAAGTGTTTGCTGCACAGAACATCTTGAATGTAAGATCTTAATGATAATGCTTACTTATAATGAAACTACAGATCAATACTACAAGTGTGAACATTATCAAGAATGGTTTTTGAAAAGACCAGCATATGTAGCGCCAATGACTAAATAGCGACGTAACCAATCTCAGTCTCAAGGTTGTGCAGCGTTTATTCAATGAGCAATTGTCTTCAGTCTTCAGCAATAAGGATAGGAGGTCTGTCGACCTATATTAATCCTTGCAGTTTGTAATACTGTGGAGGTCCAATCTCGTTTTGAATATATTAACAGACGGTGCTGATATCACGTGTTCCGGTAGAGAATTCCAGTAATTCACTACTCGGTGCGAGAAACGGAACTCCAGACGTAAACGGTTTGATCTCGGTTTTTGAACTTTCTTCGAATGTCCTCACAAATGATCGGTTCTAGACGGAAGCAAAAGATAAGACATGCTAATACCAAGGTTATCGTTCAGTATACGATAAGCCAATATTAGATCACCCCGTACTCTACGGTAAGATAACGGAAATAAGTTAAGGTGTCTCAGTCTGTCTTCATAAGATAGGCCAGCTAGACCTTGTACCATCTTAGTAGCTCGTCGTTGGACTCTTTCTAGCATATCTGCTTCATATTTGAAACAAGGACTCGCTGCTTGAATCCCGTATTCTAAATGTGGTCGCACATAAATCGGGTATAGTAATCCAAACATTTCATCATCTAAATACTGAAAAGACCTACGAATTGACCATAATACCCTATAGCCTTTTGCAGCAGCAGCCTTACAGTGACTAGTCGTTTTGAGATCATTGCTTAATATAACTCCTAAGTCTTTATAGTTTCTTGCTTTGGGTAGCACGAATCCACGTAGTGTATAGTCATACGATTCATCAGAGTTATTTAACTGCATCACTACACTCTTATTAGGATTTACTTCTAGTGACCACCTGTCTAACCATGCCACCAATGAGCTAAGATCGTCCTGTAATACTATTCTATCCGACATACTATGTATGGGTCTCCAAATCTTTATGTCATCAGCGAAGAGTAGAACGGATGATTTTGCTACAGTTGGCAATTCATTTACATAAAGTAAAAAGAGAAGAGGACCTAGGATTGTGTCTTGGGGAACCCCACTTTTTACAGGTACCCACGAGGAGAGAGCCCCATTTACCCCTACCCTTTGTCTCCTGTCATGGAGAAAGTTACTTATCCAATCGACGACTGTGTAATGGATTCCAAAACGTTTCAGTTTGAATTTAAGACCAGAGTGTGAAACCTTATCAAAGGCTTTACTTAGATCTATGAAAATTACATCCACAGGAGCATTCCGATCCTTTGCCGCAGCCCACTCTTCTCGTGCAATGAGAAGATTTGTCAAGCAAGATAGGCCTTTCCGAAAACCATGTTGTGCCCTGGAGAAAAGATTTTGCCCTTCAACATAGTTTATAACAGCTATCCGAATGATTTTCTCCATCAGTTTCACAACTGCACTAGTTAAGCTAACGGGTCTATAGTTACTAACTAAATCCCTACTCCCAGCCTTATACACCGGACTTATTATGGCGTCTTTCCAGTCTCTAGGAAGTCTGGACTGTCTCAGAGACATGTCGAATAGTATCGCTAATGGTTCAGCAATTTCATCTGATATGGCTTTCATAATCCTAGGATGAATATCATCGGGACCACTGGACTTATCAGGTTTGAGATGCTGAAGTAGCCTTAAAACAGTATCTTTCTCAATGACTACAGGATCCATCAGCGAGCCGTCACGGTCACAATGAATCATTGGTCGTTCCTCATTACCGATAGAAAACACTTTACTAAAATATTCCGATAAAGCTTCAGCTTTTTCAGCATCATTCTCTGATAAGATTAATGGATTATCTCGTATCAAAAAATGGAATTCCATCGCTTCTCTTAGTTCGCCTTTTTATATACGAGAATAACCGTTTCGGACTATATCCAGAATCCCTAACCGATTTTTTTTCGTATGAATGTCTAGTCTTGCTTATTAACACTTTACAGGCATTCCTAATCTTACAATAACTGGATCTGTATTGTTCTAAGCCAGTAGAGATGAACATATTTCAGTGATTCCTCCTTTTTCTAAGGAGTTTCCTGACCGTTTTAGTTATCCATGGTGGACTATTATTCGGTCTTCGCGGTACCAGGTATGGTATGAACGGGGACGTAACTAGTCTAAATTTACCTTTAAATACAGACCATGCTTCTTCAACTGATATGCTAGTATCTACTAACCAATCTGTCTTAGCAGCGCATTCCTGAATGGCTGATATGTTAGCTTCCCATACATTTGGGCGGAGTGTACAGTGATCGTATAACATGTCCCTAGTTCTAAACGCGAATGACAAAACAGCATGATCGCTGTTTACTAACGGTGGAAGAATATTTAAGTCGACAATATCTTCAGTCTCATGAGTGATTACCAAATCCAGCAGAGAAGAACCCTGGTTAACACCAAAACGTGTGGGTTGGGATACATGCTGCACTAGTGCATGCTCCATTATTGTTATCAGTAACCTACTATCAAAGGAGTTTATAGATCCTTCTGTGGTCATATCAGTCCAACTAATATCAGGTGCGTTAAAGTCTCCTATTATCAAGCACCTGGTATTATCACTCCAAAGATGAATGTGCTCTAAAACAAAGTCATCAGCTAAGCAGATTGGGCTCCGATAGATGACACCTAGCATAAATGTACTACATCCTATAGCCAACTTACAGCTAATGACTTCACAAGTGCCGCTATCATGGGATTCGCTAGTAGAGGAGCGGATATTTATGCCATTGGCTATATATAACAGGACGCCGCCTCCTTTTCTACATCTATGTCTATCACTCCTGATGCAATGGTATCCGGATAATTCTGGAGTAATGTCTAAGTCATGGACTAACCAAGTTTCTGTCACTGCTACTATGAGTGGCTTTAACCTGTCTACTAGTGCTTCTAGTTCATAGAACTTATTTCGTAAACTACGAGCGTTGGCATATAAAACTCCTAAGTAGAACAGCCTATCCACACAGGCCTTGGTAGCATTCGCTTCCAAGACCTGACTATCCGAAAACCCACTAGTCGGAGATTTTCCTCGCCGTTTTGCCGACGGGTTTCAAGTTCGGCTAGTGCTTTCTTCCTTTTTATTCTATCTTCGAGAGACATGTCAGGTCTAACTCGGATGTCAGAATTGTCGTGACAACGAACGCTACTTAACAGGAGATCCTAGGATTACCTTAGGGAGTCTTCATGGACAGGGTTCAACATTGTTCTCGGTCCTCTTGCCTATTCTTACCAATTTTTTGACCTGAACTCCTTTGGAGTTATCTGGTAAAATACTACGAATGTATTCTCCTAGCTTTTCTAAGCCATGCGCGTGTCTAATTTTGGGATCAGGGTCGTTTGACTCCCGCAATTTGCTCACAATAATATTCGATGTTATTAGATTTTTCTTCTCAGTCACGCCAGGATGAGTTTCACTCTTACCATCAGATCTTGGTAGTGCAATTTGTGGCTCACAGTTTGAGTCCACCAGTGAGTTACTAACTACCTGTGTACTGCTTACAGCTTTTTTCTTTTCGTTTCGTTTCCTATGTACCATAGTCCATTTTTCATCCCTCATAACACTGAGACTATTTGGAACGGTGACTGTTTTATCCAGATCTTCGGTTCCCATTAAAGGTACATTATTAACAATGTCAGTACCAGGTGGTACTACTCCCCTCTGTTAATGTCAGCGAAGATTTCACCTTTACGTTGGTCAGAGTCGGTTGTTTGAGGCCTCGCGTAACAGCAGGTACTACACTGACACATTCGTCACTGTCAGTGCCCGTGTTGTCAGCTCATATGCCATCCTTCTTCTTACAGCCCAAAGCCAATAGGCTCATAGCCTCCTGTATTAGCAATGCCTTGTTGGCACAACAAAACATGCAAAGCCAATGTGAGTTAGGCTTCGAGCATCTTTTGTATGCGGTGGGACTTAAGCGGGTGCACATTTTGTGGAACCACTTATGGCATTCGTCACACTGCATTCCCTCTTCCACAGGGAACAAACAGTTTGGTTGTCCACATTTGTGAGTACTACCAACCATTTTAGTCTGATCAAAGTGTAATACACAATATGATCACAGTATGAACACAAATGTCAGTCAAGGGATATAAGGTTACCACAAGAAAAAATTTAGCAAGATTTCAAACCTTAACGAAAGTACTTTGACACAGACCAAGAATGCTTCGAACGTAATAAATACACAAAAGCCAAAAAAATTCAACAGAATATCACTTTAACTGTATTAGATTCAATTAAAGTGTAAATCGTAGTTTTGATACGTAATTTACGATCAAAACAATTTACTAATTCAACGAGAAACAATACCACTGTCCTTTTTAGATAGCGCGCCTTAGTTAACATTATCTTTCTCAAAATTTCAGTAAAGAGGATTGGAGTTTGTCTCATTCTTATAAAAATAGTAAAAATCTCTCCCAAACTCTTTTGATACGTTGTGATTGCACGTAAACTTCGTAATCTTTGCAACTATATAATACCATACTTCTACTATGTTGTATAATGTTGTATATGCAATAATAGTTCAAATCATTTTGTATTTATTATCTATCATAAGCCAGAACAAACTTCATGTATAAATCAAATGAGTCACCTTCACGAGAAGTAAAGATAAACCTACCTACGTCATTAGTTGTTGAGTTGTATTAGCCATTGCCTTTGTTATAAAAGTACAATACTGTTGTGTAATGTTTTGTGTCACAATCTATCACGTGTATTTATTGGTTCGAAATACAATGAAATTCACCTTTGTCTTTAAGTTTCTTTTAGCGCTGTCGAGGCTAAGAACACAGAAAAATATTTACTAATTGCACTAAATTGACTTATGGAGATTACCCTAAAAGAACTTTCAAATAACACTCACGACGTAGGATTCACTGTAGTTTCGTTGTTCGGCAAACATAATCTTGTTATAAGTCTTTTTTGCGCGATTTCTATTTGATTATTGACTATGTTCTATGCATATGTTCGTTGATAAATATTTAGGACATAACTATAACTACGTCATAAAAAAGGAATGGTTCCATGAAAAGATCTACAGAGCCAAGCTGAAGACTAATCTTACTCTGTCAGCTTTTAGGCATCAGCACAAACTTTTTATCGACAATTCGTTTTATTTTGGCGATAATAAGAGGCTGAGCGATCTGCGTAAGCCCTGGCAATTGTGGTCCTTAGGCAGAAGAAAAACTGAAGACGTGAACCTGATGTCAGGCTCCAGAACTTGTCCTCCTCTCAATTTCACAAACACAATTTCTCGACTTACTATGACCAGCATTCCCAAGTAGTCAAAACTGTTTTTCAGAAGTTAAGGGACTGAAAATTCAGTCGTCACTAAGTGAAATCAATATGTGTGTGAGATTACTGAGGTGTTTGCATGAATCAATGATTCTCTGGGTACTCAATATATGCAAAATTTTGATTTCCGAGTAGAATAAGGTAGTTTGTGCTCACCTTTTTCTATATGACTGTGGTGTTTGAATGAACTAATGATTCCTTTGTACTTGTTGAATGCTTGATTTCGAATTTCAAATACAGTACATTCTTTCGTGCTTATCTAATACTTCTTGATCCAATTACGTTATTTCTGGGATTCTTAGTTCGTACTATAATTCATTTACTCCTGATCATCATATTGGCGTCGCGATTGACCCTGTGATGGAACAGTTGGACATACATTCAGATTTTTATGCTTTTAAGGGTTATTTTGAAAGGTTCGAAATTTGGGCTACAACCAAGGAAGATGATGAGGATGTTAATATTGTGGCACATTTCCTCACATTCATCGGAAAAGAAGCATATAACTTATTAAAAACTCTGGCTTTACCGGAAAGGCCCATTTCGCTTTCTTATACAGCTCTCATGGATCTACTGATAGATTATGTTAACTATACAATTTTCGAATGTGGTAAAGGAGGAAGATTTCGTAAAATGTTTCATGACGATATAAAAAATTGCACTGCATTATGTCATCTCAAACCAATGCATACTCAAGGCTATGCAGATAATTCATTGAGGACAGTGAATTTTGTACTTGTTGTGATTATACTTGCTTTTGGTACTTATTGCACTAAAAAGCATTCTTGGCCTACTTTAACTAAGAGTTCTTTGGTTAAAGTTTGAAATTTTTGCTACATTTTGTCCTGGGTACCTGTTTTCAGTCCTTGATTAACACTTGTATTCACATTGTTATCATTTTTTGTTTTTAAACCTTTTAAATCGAATTACAATGGTTGGTATGACTCACAAATGTGGGCAACCAAACTGTTTGTTCCCTGTGGAAGAGGGAATGCAGTGTGACGAATGCCATAAGTGGTTCCACAAAATGTGCACCCGCTTAAGTCCCACCGCATACAAAAGATGCTCGAAGCCTAACTCACATTGGCTTTGCATGTTTTGCTGTGCCAACAAGGCATTGCTAATACAGGAGGCTATGAGCCTATTGGCTTTGGGCTGTAAGAAGAAGGATGGCATATGAGCTGACAACACGGGCACTGACAGTGACGAATGTGTCAGTGTAGTACCTGCTGTTACGCGAGGCCTCAAACAACCGACTCTGACCAACGTAAAGGTGAAATCTTCGTTGACATTAACAGGGGGAGTAGTACCACCTGGTACTGACATTGTTAATAATGTACCTTTAATGGGAACCGAAGATCTGGATAAAACAGTCACCGTTCCAAATAGTCTCAGTGTTATGAGGGATGAAAAATGGACTATGGTACATAGGAAACGAAACGAAAAGAAAAAAGCTGTAAGCAGTACACAGGTAGTTAGTAACTCACTGGTGGACTCAAACTGTGAGCCACAAATTGCACTACCAAGATCTGATGGTAAGAGTGAAACTCATCCTGGCGTGACTGAGAAGAAAAATCTAATAACATCGAATATTATTGTGAGCAAATTGCGGGAGTCAAACGACCCTGATCCCAAAATTAGACACGCGCATGGCTTAGAAAAGCTAGGAGAATACATTCGTAGTATTTTACCAGATAACTCCAAAGGAGTTCAGGTCAAAAAATTGGTAAGAATAGGCAAGAGGACCGAGAACAATGTTGAACCCTGTCCATGAAGACTCCCTAAGGTAATCCTAGGATCTCCTGTTAAGTAGCGTTCGTTGTCACGACAATTCTGACATCCGAGTTAGACCTGACATGTCTCTCGAAGATAGAATAAAAAGGAAGAAAGCACTAGCCGAACTTGAAACCCGTCGGCAAAACGGCGAGGAAAATCTCCGACTAGTGGGTTTTCGGATAGTCAGGTCTTGGAAGCGAATGCTACCAAGGCCTGTGTGGATAGGCTGTTCTACTTAGGAGTTTTATATGCCAACGCTCGTAGTTTACGAAATAAGTTCTATGAACTAGAAGCACTAGTAGACAGGTTAAAGCCACTCATAGTAGCAGTGACAGAAACTTGGTTAGTCCATGACTTAGACATTACTCCAGAATTATCCGGATACCATTGCATCAGGAGTGATAGACATAGATGTAGAAAAGGAGGCGGCGTCCTGTTATATATAGCCAATGGCATAAATATCCGCTCCTCTACTAGCGAATCCCATGATAGCGGCACTTGTGAAGTCATTAGCTGTAAGTTGGCTATAGGATGTAGTACATTTATGCTAGGTGTCATCTATCGGAGCCCAATCTGCTTAGCTGATGACTTTGTTTTAGAGCACATTCATCTTTGGAGTGATAATACCAGGTGCTTGATAATAGGAGACTTTAACGCACCTGATATTAATTGGACTGATATGACCACAGAAGGATCTATAAACTCCTTTGATAGTAGGTTACTGATAACAATAATGGAGCATGCACTAGTGCAGCATGTATCCCAACCCACACGTTTTGGTGTTAACCAGGGTTCTTCTCTGCTGGATTTGGTAATCACTCATGAGACTGAAGATATTGTCGACTTAAATATTCTTCCACCGTTAGTAAACAGCGATCATGCTGTTTTGTCATTCGCGTTTAGAACTAGGGACATGTTATACGATCACTGTACACTCCGCCCAAATGTATGGGAAGCTAACATATCAGCCATTCAGGAATGCGCTGCTAAGACAGATTGGTTAGTAGATACTAGCATATCAGTTGAAGAAGCATGGTCTGTATTTAAAGGTAAATTTAGACTAGTTACGTCCCCGTTCATACCATACCTGGTACCGCGAAGACCGAATAATAGTCCACCATGGATAACTAAAACGGTCAGGAAACTCCTTAGAAAAAGGAGGAATCACTGAAATATGTTCATCTCTACTGGCTTAGAACAATACAGATCCAGTTATTGTAAGATTAGGAATGCCTGTAAAGTGTTAATAAGCAAGACTAGACATTCATACGAAAAAAAATCGGTTAGGGATTCTGGATATAGTCCGAAACGGTTATTCTCGTATATAAAAAGGCGAACTAAGAGAAGCGATGGAATTCCATTTTTTGATACGAGATAATCCATTAATCTTATCAGAGAATGATGCTGAAAAAGCTGAAGCTTTATCGGAATATTTTAGTAAAGTGTTTTCTATCGGTAATGAGGAACGACCAATGATTCATTGTGACCGTGACGGCTCGCTGATGGATCCTGTAGTCATTGAGAAAGATACTGTTTTAAGGCTACTTCAGCATCTCAAACCTGATAAGTCCAGTGGTCCCGATGATATTCATCCTAGGATTATGAAAGCCATATCAGATGAAATTGCTGAACCATTAGCGATACTATTCGACATGTCTCTGAGACAGTCCAGACTTCCTAGAGACTGGAAAGACGCCATAATAAGTCCGGTGTATAAGGCTGGGAGTAGGGATTTAGTTAGTAACTATAGACCCGTTAGCTTAACTAGTGCAGTTGTGAAACTGATGGAGAAAATCATTCGGATAGCTGTTATAAACTATGTTGAAGGGCAAAATCTTTTCTCCAGGGCACAACATGGTTTTCGGAAAGGCCTATCTTGCTTGACAAATCTTCTCATTGCACGAGAAGAGTGGGCTGCGGCAAAGGATCGGAATGCTCCTGTGGATGTAATTTTCATAGATCTAAGTAAAGCCTTTGATAAGGTTTCACACTCTGGTCTTAAATTCAAACTGAAACGTTTTGGAATCCATTACACAGTCGTCGATTGGATAAGTAACTTTCTCCATGACAGGAGACAAAGGGTAAGGGTTAATGGGGCTCTCTCCTCGTGGGTACCTGTAAAAAGTGGGGTTCCCCAAGACACAATCCTAGGTCCTCTTCTCTTTTTACTTTATGTAAATGAATTGCCAACTGTAGCAAAATCATCCGTTCTACTCTTCGCTGATGACATAAAGATTTGGAGACCCATACATAGTATGTCGGATAGAATAGTATTACAGGACGATCTTAGCTCATTGGTGGCATGGTTAGACAGGTGGTCACTAGAAGTAAATCCTAATAAGAGTGTAGTGATGCAGTTAAATAACTCTGATGAATCGTATGACTATACACTACGTGGATTCGTGCTACCCAAAGCAAGAAACTATAAAGACTTAGGAGTTATATTAAGCAATGATCTCAAAACGACTAGTCACTGTAAGGCTGCTGCTGCAAAAGGCTATAGGGTATTATGGTCAATTCGTAGGTCTTTTCAGTATTTAGATGATGAAATGTTTGGATTACTATACCCGATTTATGTGCGACCACATTTAGAATACGGGATTCAAGCAGCGAGTCCTTGTTTCAAATATGAAGCAGATATGCTAGAAAGAGTCCAACGACGAGCTACTAAGATGGTACAAGGTCTAGCTGGCCTATCTTATGAAGACAGACTGAGACACCTTAACTTATTTCCGTTATCTTACCGTAGAGTACGGGGTGATCTAATATTGGCTTATCGTATACTGAACGATGACCTTGGTATTAACATGTCTTATCTTTTGCTTCCGTCTAGAACCGATCATTTGAGAGGACATTCGAAGAAAGTTCAAAAACCGAGATCAAACCGTTTACGTCTGGAGTTCCGTTTCTCGCACCGAGTAGTGAATTACTGGAATTCCCTACCGGAGCACGTAATATCAGCACCGTCTGTTAATATATTCAAAACGAGGTCGGACCTCCACAGTATTACAAACTGCAAGGATTAATATAGGTCGACAGACCTCCTATCCTTATTACTGAAGACTGAAGACTGAAGACGGAGTTGAGATGCAGTTCACGAAGATAGGCACAATTTTGGTCAATGTTTTGTCCTGTGTCAGGTCCCACTCTTTCAATTCATGTAAATTTCGTAATTCTAAGTGCTTTAAAGGTGATGATATTGGA